ATGTAGCTGTGTCATTGCTCAGCAGCCCACTATGCTCTGCTGAGCTTGGTACTTATAATGGACTTAAGTTAACGGCCTGCCATGTGGTTTGGTAACATCGGGACTGTGCCTTTTTACCTGTCAACCTTGGGGCTTCTCAGCCTCAGCAGCCAGCAGCTGTCTGAGTGAAGAAACACCTCTAGCTCCAGTGAGCCTGGAGCAGGACCCCAAGGTTGAGGGGCTTTCACCCAGCCCCTAGAGCCTGGCACTGTGAACTTGGACTTAAAGCCTCTAAATTGTAAGAGTAAGTTCCTGTTTGTTAAGGCCATCCCATTTGTGGTATATTTCTTGTCAGAGCGGCACTAAGCAACCAGAACACAGAGACATGGCAACTGGCACATCTAAGGAAAGGCTAGGGCTGGGGTGGGGCACAGTGCATGAGAGACAGACCACTCTGCATCCAAAGGCCATGCAGGCAACAGAGGCAAAGCCTAGTAGGTTTTCATGCTCCAGACAAACCCATTAAGAGCTGTGTTCTGTTAAACAAGAGCTTGAGCGTGACGACACAGATGAACAGTGGTGGTGGCCCAGAGAGCACGAGCGTGCGCCAGGTCCCAAAGGCACAGGACTGGCTGCTATGGATGTGTGCACATGGCAGATGTGTGCTAATGCCAATGCCCAATCACCCCATCAATCACCCCACAGGTGGTAAAAGACAAGTGACAGATGCCTTAAGACAGAGTACACCTGATCTACAAGACAAGCAGGGCAGCTAAGTGAGCCACCCCTCCCCTCATCCTACTCACTCTGACCTTCCAGCCGGAGTCAATCTGGCAGCCATCTTGGTGTCCTAGGTGACCTCTAGGTCACTGAGCACCTCATGAATATTAACTTCTCCACCTCTAGGTGAAGTTTAGCTGCCGTTTTTTACACGTGCAATGTATGCAGAGGTATATAACCCTAACTGCACTTGCAGACAATGTACAAGGATGTACCCATGATTCTGAATGACTTCCTGGTTTGTAAACTATATAGAAGGGATGCTTGACGGAACCTTCCTTGGGGCAGTCTGGGTGGCATTAGCCCCAGCTGTTCCTTTCCTTGGCCAAGGAAGTAAAAGAGCCTTTCTGTTCTCCTACCTCAGTCGCTTGGTTATTGGCTACCAGTCAGGCTGACCGGAGTCTGAATTTCACCCAGCAGCCACCTGACGAAAACTAGATTCAGATCTCACACCAAGAGCTGTGTTGTTGTTGTTATGTGGCGTTGAGTTGGACCCAACTTATAGTGACCTCTCCTTGGGTTTCTGAGGCAGTATCACTACAGAAGTAGATTGCCCAACCTTCCTTCTGAGAAGTGGCTGGTGGGTTTGAACTGCCAGCCTTCTGGTTAGCAGTCAAGTACCTTAGGCACTACACTACCAGAGCTCCCTATAAAGAGCTGTAGACTGCATTAAATTGTTTTAAAATACATTTTTTGATCACAGAATCAATGTTTATAATTAACATTTCAAATGTTAAATATGTAACTTGTCAACTTATGGGCTGTGTAACCCCCACCCCATAATTAACAACTTAGTACTTAAGTCTCCCAGGTATAAAAAATACACACTTCACACTATTACAAACTTGAGATCATACAAAGCATATTAAGTACTTAATGTGAAAAACAAAGCTACCAAAATATTAGCATGAAATCTGGGTAAATATGTGCCTACGAACATGTACACATACTGGAATGGGGGAATCACTGTGTAGCACAGTTACAAAGGCAGAAATTATGAAAGAAAAGACTACTGAATTTGATTACATAGAATTTGAAACCCATGTATGTTGGAAAGCACCACAAAGACAGACAAATACGGCAAAATGCCATCTCATACATACACCAGGCCAAGGCTGAGTACCCAAGTTCACAGGGCATTTGTTAAAAAACAGTCAGAAGTGAGAATGCTCCCAGAACAGACAACTAGCAAAAGAACAGCACAGAAGGGCCACTAACAGTAGCTCATCCCCCTAGAATCACACAGCACACAGAACACACGGCCTCGCCCCACTAGACACCAGAATCACAGAGCACACGGCCTCGCCCCACTGGACACCAGAGAATCACACAGAGCACACGGCCTCGCCCCACTAGACAGCAGAGAATCACACAGAGCACACGGCGTCGCCCCACTAGACAGCAGAGAATCACACAGAGCACACGGCGTCGCCCCACTAGACAGCAGAGAATCACACAGAGCACACGGCCTCGCCCCAGTAGACAGCAGAATCACAGAGCACACGGCCTCGCCCCAGTAGACAGCAGAGTCACACAGAGCACACGGCCTCGCCCCACTAGACAGCAGAGAATCACACAGAGCACACGGCCTCGCCCCACTAGACAGCAGACAATCACAGAGCACACGGCCTCGCCCCACTAGACAGCAGACAATCACAGAGCACACGGCCTCACCCCACTAGACAGCAGGCAATCACAGAGCACATGGCCTCGCCCCACTAGACAGCAGAATCACACAGAGCAGACAGCTTTGCTGTCACAGTACAGTCAGAGCTAGGTGACGCCCATGGTGACATGGAGAGAAGACATGTGTTCTGAGACACACAGATATGCTCTCCCCTAGAAGGTGACACAGCTTCTAACAGTGGCTACTGTGGAAGCGCTGGAACCAGAGGCCCAGGTACCTCGAGGTATCACTGCAAACTGATGACAGCAAATCTGAAACCATCTTGACAAGAGGCCGCCATAAGGGAAGGCCACCCATCACAGTGCAGACACAGACGACAGTGGTGGGCCTCCATGCCCGCACCACGTGGTGCCACTTCAGGGCCAGCACAGCACACACTGACACTCCACTCCCTAACAGGGCAGGGATGACCCTAGGACCTTGGATGTCAGGTGAAGCTGTTGAACCTTCCTAAGGCAGCCACACACCCCTATACACTGGCAGCATCCTTACCTTCTCGAGCCCCTGCAGCTCCCATGGGACTAGATAGCCTGGCCAAGCCACCAGTGGCATCTCTCTGCTCAGCCCACAGCCCCTGTGGCCTCTGACTGCTGACTACCGGCCTCAGTCACTCCATGACCACCCACCCTCACCAACACAGGCCAAGGGTCACAACACAGGCCCAGCACTATAAGCATACAGTGAACACGTGGTGCATCAAGGGGCCTCCCCTCACTCGGTTACAGCCTCCATCGCTCCAACTGCACAAACATGGCCCAGACCCTAAAGCCAGGCCCCTCTAGAAGGCCTGTGCTAGAGAAGGGAGCAGTCAATGAGTGCTGGGACCAAGGGGTTGTTGGGGGAGGGGACAGAGGGAGAGCAGACACAGGATCTCTCAGGACTGAGAGCCACATGAGCTGAGGACAACGCTGAAATGGGGCCAGAGCCAAGGAGGGCCCGCGTAGGGGTGGGGCACACTGGCACTGGTTAAATCAAGTGGGAGGGTGGACAGGGCACAGAGAGGACAATTAACTGACACACATCCTGCAGCCAGCTCGGGAGGGGGAGGCGGAGCATGGGCAGCAGCAAGGGCAGAGGCCTGAGGGAACCAGCCAAGCGGCGCCAGGCCTCCACAGGGGCCGGGACCCCACAAGAGGCCTGGCGTCCAGGATCAGTACAGGAGAGTCTACTGTTCCTGAGAAAGGTGGCAGAGTGCACTGTGGAAAGTGGCCGCCCAGGGCATCGGGGTCTGTAGGGCAAGGCTGGGGGCATGGTCACCTAGGTCGATGGGCCTGAAGAAAGGGGCTGGGGAGACGACCACCCAGATCAGCAGGGTCTGCAGGGCAGGGCTGAGGGGACGGCTGCCCAGGTCAGCGGGCCCGAAGAATGGGGCTAGGGGGATGGCCGCCTGGGTCAGCAGGGCCTGCAGGCCAAGGCTGGCCCAGAAAAAGCCACATGATGGGAAAAGCCCCAAGGCAGAGGCTCAGAGCAAGGTAGTGGAGGGTGACAGACACCCTCAGCATCCCCAAGAACAGGGCTTGTGCAATTCGAGGCAACCTGATGATCTTAGGAAAGGGTGAGAAGAAGCTGTAAGAAGACTACCTCCTGGCAGGAAGCAGAGACGAGGCCTCTTTGGTGGGCCAGACACGCATGCATCTGCACGAGCACTGCTGGGCACGCATGGCTCAGTGAGGTTACCCACAGAGCAGCAGCAGAATGAAAGAGGAGGGGAGGGGAGCAGGAGGGAGGCGCCCCCCCTCAGGGAAGGGCACTGCAGACTCAGACCTGAATCAGACTCAGAATCCTGCTCTGTGGGCAAGGCAAGGCCCAGGTCAGAGGTCTAAGGCCCAGGGCTCTCAGGAAGCTGGAAGCCACCAGTTGGGATGAAGAGGAGGGAGGCTGTGCGCTATAATGAACACAAGACACACAGACACTCAGAATAGACAGACAGCCCTGTGGTCACACCCAGGAGCCACATCGGGTCCACCCTGAGCAGCAATGCCATGTCCCCACTGGTGCATTGTCGTTCATGCCCAGGAGGGAGGATCCAGATGAGAAGGGAGGCCTGAGGGAGCTCAAATCCTGGGACGGACTAGGGAAGGGGTGCTGGTGTTATCACCTCAACACCGAGTGAGGCTGTGGAAGGGAGTAGGAGTTCAGGACAAGGCTCAAGTGAGGGCGTGTGAGGCAGGTGTGTGTGTATGTGTGTTTGAGTATGTATATGTGAGAGTGTATGTGTGCGTATGTGTGTGTGTATGCGCGTGCGTGTGTGTGTGCATGCACATGCGTGTAGATGTGCATAGCCCCACGGTGCATTTACCGCCGTGCAGAAGTAGCCACAGCCCGGGCAGCACTGGTGCTTCACCATCCGTGCTCTGTGGTCTTCACACAGCACCAGGAGCGGCACACTGTTGGATGGGCGCATCAGGTCAAACTTGGCCACGCTGTTGGTGCACCGGCCTAGCTGTGGACAGACAGACAGACACAGGCTTCAGTCACAAAGCACGAGGTGAGCCACCCGCCTGTCCACTGGGCGCCAAGGGGCTGGGACTAGCGTAGCTCCAGCACACAGCAGGTGACCAGCACACATATACATGAGTGGATGCCTCCTCCCACCCAGCACTCCAGGAGGCTCGAAGACACGATGGGACTGTCCTTCACCCGCCTGAAAGACACAGCCACACTACCTGTCAATGCACATTCAGTGTGAGGAGCAGGAGTGTGCATGTGCTGTACAGAGTAGCAGGCTGTTTACTCAGGCAGCAATCGAGGAAAACGTCACTGTGCTCTAATCCCTGGGCATCAAAGAAAAATGGACGCATTTGGTCGAGCAGCACACACCAAGCCAAATGGAATGAACGTCACAGGCCAGAAGTGGGGACGGCAGCAGGTTGAGTCTGAGGAGCTCCCCCACGGAGGTGATGGCTGAGACTCAGCAGTGGGAAGCACAAAGACTCAAGGGCCTGGGGGAGGCCACAGTGTGGGGGGTGCAAGCACAGAGCTGCCCTAACAGGGCAGAGACCAGGACATATGCCCTGTGCAGCATACCTGGCAAAGGGCTCTCTTACAACCAATGAGGAGGAGAGAATAACCCAACAGCCGGATAAGCAAAGCAGTAGCAATTCACCAGAGAAGAACTACCAAGGCCCAGAAACGAACAATAGATCATCAAGGGACAGCACGGTCAGAATCCTGACCTAGCCCTTTCCCTCTGCACCCTGTCCAAGGACCCGCTGCCAGCCTTGCCCAAACTTCCTGTGAAGCCTCAGGAAATGCAAGCTGGTGTTTACAGCCCTCACCTGAAGTCTAATTGGGCAGCACCCACACAGGTGCCCAGAGTCCTGTGACAGAGCTGCAGAGCACACCGCCGTGAACACCACCCATACAGACCACATGCAAAGAGACATGGCCTGAGTCAGCTAGTCTGACAGAGTGTTACTGGCCAGAGAGGAGCCAGGAGTTCTGGGAAGGCAGCAGTGGCCCAGGGCAGCCTCCTGGAATCCCCACATAAAACCAGACAGAGCCAGCGCTGACTGGTACAGGGGTGCATGGCACAGGGGTAGGAGGTAGCAGCAGGGGCCACTCTAAGTAAACAAAAGAAACCAAACCCACTGCCATCAAGTGAATTCTGACTCATAGCCACCCCATTAGATTTCCAAGGCTGTAAATCTTCATGGAAGTAGATTCCTCATCTTCTTCCCATGCAGCAGCTGGTGGGTTCGAACCTCTGACCTTCTGGTTATCAGCCAAATGCCTTACCCACTGCCCCACCAGAGCTCCTTACTCTCTAAATAGGAGCCCTTACTAGTTTGGGTAATGGGTTGCATAAGAGCACATGTGCATGAAGGGACTGGGCCTGAGCAAGGCAGAAGAGGCCACTAAGATGTCCACAAGAAAGGAGGACTTCTGGTGATGGTTAGGGCGTATGTCACCACTCAACAAAGCAATCACCCCCAAAAAACCTATGTGTCTGCGGGCCAAGAGAGCAACCAGAGAGCAAAGGCAACACCCACGGGCAACATAACAACAAAGCCAGGGAAGCAGCACACTACAAGTGGGCAGAGACAAAGCACCAGGAGCCCCAAGACTTGCACAGTCTTGTCTGTGTGGGAAGAGAAGACGGCGAGGAGACAGCACTGTGGGCCCCAAACCAGCAGAACGCAGATGACCAGAAGCGCTGACCAGGGCCATCAGGAGGCCAGAGCTTAGCCTGCCCTCCACTGTGGCTTAAGTCAAGCCAAGAGACCCAGGGGCCCCGAGGGTGGAGCAGCCCAGCCTCCAGGAGCCCCGAGCTGACCCACAGGGGACCCTCTAGTGCAGGGTTCAGGAATGGAGAACCTGTGGGAACTAAATCAGACCGAGCAGGACAGGGACAACCAGGCTGAGGAAAGGGGCTCTGGCTCAGGGCCCCTGGAATCCTCGGCGTCAGGCCCTTCTACTCTCTTAAAACTTAGAGGCCCCAGAACTTGGGGACTGTGTGTTCCATCCACTGATACTTTCCACATTAGAAATTAACACTGAGAAAATTTTAAAATAGTAATTTAAAGTACGAGTAAATCTACCACACGTTAGCACAAAGAACATATATTAATGGAAAAAAAAAAAAAAATAGACACAGTCTCACGAGCAAAGAACGTCGCTGACAGCACTGCTTGACGCTGCTGAGAGACTCCAAAATCTGGTTCAGAAAGACAGTGGCTGATCTTATCCACTGGTGCACTGGGGGCAGGTGAACTGTGGACATGAGTGGTCGCTCGCATACTACAGCTCTTCTTTGAAACTAGACCCAAACTTGACAAGCAGGGGTTTCTGAGAACCTCAGACTGTATCAGTAAAGCCCCGGGCCTGTGTGGCTCTAAATGGGGCCCCTCCCAGTGCCTTGATCTGGAACACTGGAGGTGCAACTCACGGATCCACACGGCCAAACCAAGGCAGGCACACACTCCACCTCACCCCGGCAACGCCGCCGCATGCTGGTGCTGGGGGAGGGGAAAGGCGGATGACTCTGAACAGGTTGGACGGCAGACTCCTGAAAGGAGTCTTGGGAACTTCCAGACATCCCCAAATCACACTCTGAGCTGCTGCTCTCATCCACAATGGGAGAAAGCAAGGAGAACCAAGCTGGCACCGAGGGCAAGCCACCACGTTTCTCATTACACAAAAAAAATGAAGAGGGAGCTCTGGGAAGGCAGGTATCTTCCTGAAACTACCATCTAATGAAAGTGTGCAACCGAAAAGGAAAAGTCAACTTCCATACAAAATCTGCAGAATAAGGAAAAGGCTGAACGTAACATCTCCAGAGACAATTGACGGCACACCACAAAGGTGGACTCCCAGACAGAACTACAACCTGCTTGGGATGGTTCCAGTGGTGTGTCAACGTGGCTAGGCCATGCCTCTCAAAGGGTTTGGCAGTTATGATGAAGTCATTCCCCATGATGAGCTCTGAGAGAATGTAATCACCTCCATGATCAGATCTGCTATGAGCAGCCAATGAGTTGAAAGGCAGTTTCCTCAGGGATGTGGCCTGTCTCCGCTACATACGGATATTCTGACAAAGCTCTCAGGCCTTTTACTCCATCTGGATCCTGCTTCTGGCTCATCTCATCACCTCTGGCTCCTGGACTTGAACCAGTGGCCTGAGGTACTGCATGCTGATCTTGGGACTGTTTCTTCACAGCCTGTGAGACAACAGCCAGCCATATTACCTGCTGATGATCTTGGGTTTATAAACCCCCACAGCTACGTGAGCCAGGTGAGGCCTCCAGCCTACGTCTGACCCATGCACTTGAGACTTGTCAGCCTCTACAACTGAGTAAGCTACTTCCTTGAGATCAATCTCTCTCTCTCTTCATACACACATACATACATACATACATACATACATAAGCTTCACGCATTCTTCTTCTATAATGCAGCCTAAGACACAGCTGTCTCGAGATGATCTATAAAATACTAGGAAGATGACACAAGAGAGGAAAGAACATAAATAAGAAAAAAAAAAAAAAAACCTCAAAAACAATTTGACAGAACTCAGGAAAGAATCAGAAATAAAATTCATATAAGAGTTGAAGACTAAATACCTAAATAGAAATAGAAGATAAAAAAGAGGCAACTTTAAAAAATACACAGGAAATTAAACAAAAACACAAAGATTCAAACAAAAGTTATAAATACTGAAAATAGAGGCAAGTAAGGTACCTCACACAAATAGGAATTCCTGAAAACAAAACGCGAAGGAAATAAAAACACTAAAAGCTAACATCTGAGAAAACATTCTTAAAGATTTAAAAAAAAAAAATTGAAACTATATATACTGAAGATGAAAAAACAACATTAAGTATCAAGAAAAAAGAGCATGTGATTTGTAGGACAAAGCAAGTCAGACACCAACACACAGCACTGCTGTGTGCCAGAAGAAAATGGAGTGACACAGTTAAAATACCCAAGGGAATCCTCAAGAGGCTCAGATCCTCAGCAAGACGGACTGACACAGTGGCTGCAATGAGGGGCTCAAGCTTAGCAGGGACTGTAAGGACAATGGAAGATGGGGCAATCTTTTGTTCTGTTGTATACAGGGTCACTGTGAATCTGAGGTGACTCAATGGGACCTGGTAACAAGGAAATGAAGTATGAACCACAATCTATACCCAGCAAAACTGACTTCCAAGCCGGAAGCATAGAGACATGTAAGAACTTAGGGAATATTGCTTCCATAAGCCCTTCCTGAGGAGTTTACCAGACAAGGGGTTGGCAAATTACAGCCCACAAACTCCATTAACCAGCTGCCTACTCAAGAAAATAAAAGATTCACTGGGACACAGTGATCTCACTTACTTTTGTGCTAAAATGGCAGAGCTGACCATGTGTGACAGAGATTGGTGCACAAACCCCAGAACATTTACAATCAAACTGCTGCCTACCCTACACTAGAGAGTGAGCTTCGTACAACTACAATGACTAGAGGACTGGGGGAAGCATGAAATACATTTTGTTGTTGTTACGTGCCAGCTAGTCAGTTGCGACTCATAGCAACCCCATGCACAACAGAACGACACATGGCCCAGTCCTGCCTCATTCTCACAATCGCTGCCATATGGGTCCATAGTTGCACCCACCATGTCAGTCCACCTTGCAATCGTCTTCGTCTTTTTTTCTCTCTACTTTACCAAACACGAATGATTCCTTCTCCAGAGATGAGTCCCTTTGGACAACATGACCAAAGTAGGAGAGACAAAGCCTCGCCATTAAGGAGCATTCTGGCTGCACTTCTTTCAAGACAGAACTGTTCGTTCTTGCGGTGCTTGTTAGTTGTTGTTGAGTCAGACCTGACTCAGTGACCCTACATAGGTACACAGGTACAACAGAAAGAAACACTACCTAGAGGTGCACCATCTTTACAATTCTCGCTAAGCTTGAGTCTATCTGCAGCGACTGTGTCAATTCACTTCATTGAGGGTCTTC